TTTACTTGGTGCTCAAACTAGACCAGCAAGGGAGAAGGTGAAACTCTATTTTCAAAGCAACACATGCTTGTGTATGGCTGTATTCCGATCTCAGCAGCGCTCATATTATTCTTCCACCACTATTACTTGTATATAATATCAGTTTCTTTAGTCATTTTGCTATTTAGCAAAAGCATCAAACCCTGAAGCTGCATATCACAATCAAAAGCTCAAATCTCGAGCTGCCTCTGCTACTACTATTGTTTGGCTAAACCGATCGAGCAGATTCCTCCCACCATGTATATTTAAAAGACATCTACTCTTCATTACACATTTTCACTGCTTCATGAATTGACCGCTTTGATAGAAACACTGATTTCATATATGTCAAACTTACGTTGCTGTCTTGGACAAATGGCCCGCGCGCAGTTAGAGTTCGATCACATTATTAATTATGTTACTAGTTACCTAATCCCCTAAAGGTGAATTAGAGTAGTTCAATAACTAATCTGGATTTCTTGAACTGGGCTAGCTATAGCTAGTGGCGCACCACTGTACACGTCTTGCTCGCTAGCTGGATGTGAACGTTAGAGGAATATAAAGTAGTACCCACATGTTACGCCGAGGATTTGTTAGGTTGTTTAAGAATGAGTCGATTTACGTTAATATAAAAGGTCTCATATCAGATAAAATTAGGTTTTAATAAGCAATTTGTTATAAAATGAAAGAGCTCACAAACTTGAATCTTAAAGTTTTGAGATAAGATGTGGTGAACTTCTACCGCCCTCTAAATATTCTTACGCTACTCTTTAATCTGTCTAATTTGTTCCCTTTTCACACCCCATTCCTAACACCCCATGAGTGAGATTGGCCATAAATAGTAAAACAAAAGCATCACGAAGAGTCGGTGATCGATCCAAAAATATAGTTCCACTAGAGCTGCAATATGTCTGTTCTTGCTTGAGGTTCACTGAAGTGGTTGATTACTCCGGGTATACACACACCCCTCGTTGAATTAGAAAAAAGAATACGATAATATGGGAGAAGTAATGCAAAAGCAATAATTAATGGGACAATACATACGGTCTGGAGCAAGCGACTAAATTCCATATATATTCTGTAGGGTCTTGGTTGAATAAAATATTATTATATGCTAATGAAATGGGTTTGAGTAGAAGGAAGACAAGCACATGGAATAAGGAATATATGGGGAAAGCATTTTGACAACATGGCAAATGAGGCAAAGAACGACATGTTGACCGGATATTATATGATCACAACCTTATTGTTCGATAGTCCAAAACAAGGATTGAGAACATATATAAATGGCCCTCTAAACAAATGTATAATAGAAGCAAAATTTCGTTTCCCGGAGAATCTAGAGCGCATCAGGCGCTGACCCTTAGCTTCCAAAACTAATATTAAACCGCAGATTATATTATTTAACTTATTCTTGCCGAGCTTCATCTCACATAATATTAACAAAACCAACCAAAACCAGGGAATAAACAAAGAGGGACTAATAGGCATAGGGGCGCGAGCATAATTAAGACACACCGCGATACTCTGTGATACAAATATGGTTCATATCAAATGTGAGTACTTGCTGCGATCTTAATGCATGTTGTGTGTATAAAATAATGGAGGGTGCCAACAAATACATATGGGAGAAAGTGAAAAAACTAAAAGGGTTATTAGGCAGGGGTGACCGCCGATGAGTCACGTGACGGAAGCCAGGTTGACGCCGAGGAATATGGCGTCCACGCGCGCGTAGGATTCGACAAGGCGTTTGGACATGGTTTATACGGACACGGTGAGGGAATATTTGAGTTTGTGGTGTCCATATCATAATAATATATCCTCCGACTTCTTCTTGTTTGACGTTGGAAATGTTACACCCTCCATTAATAACAACATCATCGCTCACACTATCTAAATCCCGATTTTATCCTTCAAGTTAATTCAAGAGATATTTTACAAAAACTTAGAGAGTAGATATTATTTAACGAATTCTTATATGAGGCATATATTTAAATTTTTCTTTTCACATTAATTTTAAGGAAAAAGAAATAGGAACGGGAAGGTAACAACGTAAGGAAATGCATGTGAGGGTGTGGGGTGGTGTCGCCGGACATCATAGCCACTCTGACACAACTCTTATTGTTATTATTATGGGTTAAGGTGCGCCCAACACTCTGAACTATTTTCCCAGGTGCACCCAATGTCTAAAGTAATTTTCAGTACACCTATTGTCCCAAACTAATTAAAACAGTGCATCCATATTCCGGACTAACAGAAAAGTTAAATTTGACCGTTACCTTGCTGACTCGGCTGAAGGTTGACCCAAAAATCCTATGTGGCGGACACGTAAGCGTCTAATGTGTATTATTTTTACGAGTCTAGGTGTGCTCAGTATCCCGAACTATTTTTTCAGTTGCACCCAGTGTCATAAAGTAATTTTTGATGCATCCAATATCCCAAACTAATTAAAACGATGTGTCCACATCCCAGGCTAACAGAAAAGTCTCATTTGACTGTTACTTTGCTGATTCAGCTGAAGGTTGATTGAAAAATCCTACATGACGGACACGTAGGCGTCTGATGTGTATTATTTTAACTAAAAATTCAATTTTTTCCTCCTCTTCTAACATTTATCTTTTGCTAGTTTTTAAACTTTAAAAAAAGAAAGACCACGGATTCATCCTCTTAAATTTTGGTGCATGTACCACCCAATCAATTCCATCATCGTCTTTAACATTTGATCCCATTTCTTCCACCACTTTGATCTGAAACCACAATCGCCGTCACAGCACACTTCCATCTCTGTCTCTGTTAACTCCTCATTCGACTCACATTTGTTTTCCTTCATGTAAAACACAGTAAACTTCCCCTTGGTCACTCTATTGACATCGCCGTCGCCTTTCAAGAAAACACCCGCTGCCACCGGGCTTGTCTCGAGAGTTTTAGTCAAAATAATACACATCAGACACCTGCGTGTCTGCCATGTAGGATTTTTCAGTCAGTCTTTAGTTGAATCAGTAAGGCAACGGTCAAATGAGACTTTTCTGTTAGCCTGGGATATGGACGCACCGTTTTAATTAGTTTGGAATACTGGATACACTAAAAATTATTTTAGGACACTGGGCACACCTGGAAAAATAGTTTGGGGTGCTGGGCGTATCTTAACTCGTCAACATAATACACATCAGATGCCTACGTGTTCGCCACATAGGATTTTTCAGTCAATCTTCGGCTGAGTAAGCAAGGTAACGGTTAAATTTAGCTTTTCTGTTAGCCTGAGATATGGATGCACCGTTTTAATTAGTTTGGGATACTGGATGCACTGAAAATTACTTTAGAGATAAAAATGTTCATGCTGGGCGCATCTTTTTAATTAGTTTGGGATACACTGGATGCACTGAAAATTACTTTAGGACACTAGACGCACTTGGAAAAATAGTTCGGGATGCTGGGCGCATCTTAACCCTATTATTATTAGGCCAAATCATACACTTTGTCCTTTAATTTTATGTAAGGCTTCGCTTTAGTTTTTTAACTTTAAAAAATATACTCTTAGTCCTTTAATTCCAAAATTGTTAGTCTTAAATGATTATTTTTTATAACAATCATGGTTGTTTTAAATATTAAACTTAATATGTTAGCATTTAATAATATTTTATTAGCATTTAAGAGCTCAATATCACCATTTTTTGTTAACAGTTTTAGGGTTGAAGGATTAAAAGTTTACTTTTTATTAAAGGATTAAAATGAAACCTTGTATAAAGTTAAAAGACTAAAAGTATACTTCAATCCTATTATTATTATTAGTCTTTTTTTTCCCCTCAATTCTTATTTCTCACGTCTCCAATTTTAGTCGAATATTGTATATATATATAATATATATATATAGAGACATATATATTTATTTTTGCTTGGGGCCTTCGCACGTGGCCAGCTCGACGTTTTACGGGCCATGCGTGCTCCCCCAAGATCAGAATTCTTCAAGGTTGTTGCGCATATATTAATTAATTAACATGCATATATGATACTACTTCTAGTCCTTAGTATAAGAGCTAATTGATTAATTTGAGTAGATTATAAAAACTAATTAAATTAGTTATTTATAATAAGTAGATGTTGTCTTCTTTAAAATACCCTTACTAATCAACTGTTATTTGATGAAACATTTAACATATAACTATTATATTAATTATTTTGAAAAAAAATGGATAAATAAGAGAGACAAAATGGATTGGGATCTTATATTTAGAAACAAATTAAAAATCAAACTAACTCTTATATATATATATTAAGGATAGGAAGTAGTACCTTTTAATTAATTATCACCACCAAAGACTTCTTGAGGTTTTACAAATTTTACATGATTTCTTTTTTTTTCTTCTGGGGTTATAGTAAATTAGTAGTGAATTGAAAAACGAGAAATTAGAAAGGATGAGCATGAGGCATAATGCGACGTCTGAAATTATGTGCATGGAACTGCAGAGCATTAATCAGGAAGGCACACAGGTGCAGTACTGTAGAGCAGGGATATTTAATCTTTTTGGGGAGCCAACAACAATCCTCGTTCATAATAAAATGGGAATATTCGGATTCAAGAAAATGGTGTTGAAACAGATACAGAAACAGCAGCTTGCTCTATTTGATTTCAATTGGGTCTCCATCCATCAACGTTCTAAGGAACATATAGGCTCAGTTCTCCCATTGAATAGTGTCCCCTTTGTTTTTTGTTTTCTTTTTTCCCCCCCTTCTTTCAATTCCAATTAATCCTTGCAGAAACCTCTCTCTTCTCTGATTTCCTGTATAAGTACTAATAAGAGAAAACCAACCAAACACTACTCCATCCTCCCCCCTCTTTCTTTCTCCCCTACATAAATACTTCCCCTTTTCACTTGCTTTTCCAAACTACCATCCCTACATAACTTTTCTCTTTGTGTTTCTCTTATCTGACTTCCCTATTCTTGCAATTAATTACACAGCTTTAGACTCTATAGGTTCCCCATGTTCACTGCCTCTCAGTCACACCCAGTAATGCGAAGCTTCACACCTTTCCCGGACCTTTCTTTGAATATCAGCCCTCCAGATTGTAAAGCGAAACAAGTCGAGAGTCACACTAAGGGATTCGCAACCAAAAGGCCTCACAGTGATATGTGCTCCACCTCCGATTCTGGAAGCAGCGAGAGTGATTTAAGCCATGAAAATGCCTTTTCGCACCTTGGCTATCGTGAGCCTACTTTGAGCTTAGGCATCAAAATGGCAGATTTGAATCCCCTTCCACTCCCAAGAAACGTGAATCACTTTCACAACCCGCAACCTCACATCTATGGTCGCGACTTTAAACGAAACACCAGAGTCGTCTGCGGTGTGAAAAGGAGCATCAGAGCTCCTAGAATGCGATGGACTACAACCTTACATGCCCATTTTGTTCATGCTGTTCAACTTCTTGGCGGCCATGAAAGTAATCATATGCCACCATTAGTTTCATCATTTGGTTTAATATTCATATAATTAAAAGTCGATGCTTTCTCTTGATTTCAAAGTATGTATATACGTCTAATTTTGGGTTTTAATATTACTGGCAGGGGCAACTCCAAAGTCAGTGTTAGAGTTGATGAATGTAAAAGATTTAACCCTAGCACACGTTAAGAGCCACCTACAGGTGGGTGGGGCATAAATATGCATCACTCAATTTATTTTTCCCCTTTTTAGTTTTTAACGCCTGGAAGAAGTTTACGAAAATAACTAGCTAGCTGTTTCCGAGTTGCCTCCACTAGTGCCATAGTGGGGAACGGGAGAATCAGAGAGTCATCCTGGCTTTGTTGGACTTTTGTTTCTCATTTTCTTATCTGATAAGATTGTTCAATGTCCATGCAGATGTATAGAACAGTGAAAAGCACTGCCAAATGCACAGGTAATAGGAGTTTCCCTCTCAAATATAATGATGCCATTTTTTCTTCTGGTAGTATTATTACTATTCTTCGTGTTGAGGTGTTAGTGGTGATTCTAGCGAGGCAGAAACTCTATGATTAGGTCTAGCACTGTTACCCACTAATAAAAACAAAAGTTGGGGTTGGATTGTAGTACTGGCTACTGACTTCAAGTCTTGATGTGAATTATTAACCTTGGTGTCTGATAAAGATAGAGCAATGCCTCCCCGGGCGACCAATGTTGCAGGTCATGGCCACACTGATATGGGATTAGCCGTTGTCGATGAGCATGGAGCAGCCTCAGCTTGTGAGAGAACCCATCTACCTCTGCCACTTCAAAGATCTCACAAGTAATTGATCCTTTCTCCGACTCTTGACCCTTATTTTTTTAGCGTTTATGGCATCATGTTTATCTATTAATAAACTACTAAAATAAAAAAAAATTAAAGAAAAAAAACTCAATCATATAATAAAATTATTGATCATACTTTTATGCAAAAAAAATTTAATAACAAAAATCTTAAATCTAATTTTTGTTCAGCCCTTATTACGCTTAGATGGAGGATATTGTCTGCTTTAGCAGTATGAACTTAATATGGCAATTGACTAATTTCCTTAGAGGGTCTCATTGTTTGTTAGCTATATGCTAGCGTCGCTGCACGAATATTCAGAAATGCCCTCGTGTATCTATATATCTGTCTCTGGCTCTCTGCCTGTCTTTTTTATTGCCGGGTACATAGATTTTGAAAAACAAAACCTAGGGTTTCATTAGGTATGTTGGTGGTCATTGTGATGTGTACCCCTATTAATCACCGGATATTAATTCTTCGCCCGTTAGGTCGTCGACCGATGCACTTATTGATCATCCCACTATGCAGTACAAAGTCATACATTTGGTGCAAATCTCAATGTCTTGTATTCTACAGACTAAAAAGTTGCTCTGAGTGATACCCAATGTCGATCGAATGGACAATATGTACGATATTTCCTCTAGATCGTCTTCCCCTAGATGATCATCCCTAATCTTTATTAACATAAGGAGAAGTTAACCAGGTTATCAAGTTTAGATTGCCAAAATTGGGATTCCAGACCCTCACTCCCAGTTCAATAGGCATTATACTGTAGTTGATTTGTACAGATACGATGTATATTTGGGTGTTGAAATGGTTTAAGCATTTTTCAGAGAGAGAGGAAAAAAAGAGTTTTGCGGATTATGTAATGTTTTACTTCTGGAACTAATTCCTTAAGATAATGTTGCTTGATACCCACAGCAACAAGGAATCATGGCAATCATCAACGGAGACAAGGACAAACGATAGTAGACAAAAACCAGGAACGAGTTTGACGTATTCTCAAGTGAAGGCAGACGAAAGCATGGTAAGCTAAAGCTGGCATATATAAAGAGTCAGAGCAGAAACAAACCCGGCATATTTTGTAGTCTTTGGTGCGTGTAATCATATTTTTGTAAAGTATTTACAATATTATTGTGGGGTTTGATGAAACAGGTGGTTGGAAGGTCATTGTCAGATTCTTCAGATGAGACGCTTAACCTAGAATTCACCCTTGGAAGACCCAGTTGGAACACAGACCAGACTCAATCATCAACAGACTTAACTTTCTCAACTGTTAAACTTGCACTATATGTGCCCTTTCCCTGTCACCAACACTTTTGATACCGAAAGCTGAACTGTTTTATTGTGGATGTGAATGATTTTGTTCCCATGACATGTCTTTTTGAGTTTGTCTGGAAAAAAGAGAAAGAAACTAAATGGGATAAGTCCTTCCTATGAGACATATGCTTCAGTCCAAGAATTCATGATCCTTGTCTTTCATGTCCTCGTCAAATGAAGGTAAGATTGAGAGAAAGTAATGTGGTTTTTAATTTGCGCTTGGTTAGGACACCACCCATTCGGCAATATATTGACATTGGATGTGTGTGTGTGGGGGGGGGGGGTCAGTTTATGTCTTGATACCATAACATATCATTCTCATCAATAATCTCATTTTGCAAGTTGGGTCTTTCTTCTCTTTTCTTTTTTTTAATCAGTTAAAGGATGCTCAGAGTAGTCCATAATTATGTATCACCGATACCATATAAAAGGAGAAGTGGTAAATTTAGGCCGAATATGGTTTTTGAATAGCAGTCTTATTTTGTTCATTGAAAATGATTTATTGATCATAATTAATTGTACTAATCAATCAAACATGATATAAATTAAAAATTGAATTTTTTTAATTACTAAATAAGTTGATATTTTAAAACTAACTATTTATTAATTAAAACATCATTCTAGATGTAATATATATAATTATTAAGGTATGCATTATAATTTATAATAACCCCATACTTCCCACTCAAACTTCACAACAATAAAAAGAAAGAAAGTAAAGGAAAGGAATATCATAGAAGAAGAACCTAAAAGTCCCATCCACATTATCGTACCTCAAAAAAAAACACAAAAGTACTTGCGTGGTAAAGCAAGCAGGTTGAATTATTATGATGCATTAATGGACAGATGGAAGCAAAAGCCAAAATAATATGCAAATAATTCAACTTTCTAAGAAGAGAGAGGGAGGAAAATGAATGATCCGAGCTCAAACAGCGCACGTTCAGGCAAATGGAAGAAGAATAAAAAGAAAACGAGAAAAGCTAAGTAAGAGAGAAGGGGCCAAAAAAAGTGATGAGGAGGAGGAGAAATATTAGGAAAACATGGAAATGCCATAATGGATAAGTTGAAATTTAAATCACACATAAAATAAAGACGAAGCAGGGGAACGCGAAAAAGCCTCTCAACGTTATGGCAGGTATCATTATTATTATGAAGCGCTTTCCAGTCACCATGGTTTGTATGGGACAAGCAAGCAAATAACCAAGATCAGAGGCCTGTTATTTACATATTGTTGCAGGCAAAGTAGAGAGACCAATTAAGTAATACATGGATGAAACATGGGTAGTTACTGTATATGAAGATGTCTTCGTCGGCCCGTAAGACTACAGGCTCACTTGTTGGTACTGCAATAATGTCCTTCATTTGCTGATGAACAGTGACTGGTTCCTCACCCAGCAACATATATATATATATCCATAATTAGATGGCGTTGGGACTTTCAAGTTGGAAGGTTGCTCTTGCGCTTCATCATTGCTCTCTGCTAGCTGCTTCGCCTTGTCCTTTTCTCAGGATTTATGCTCATTTGCCCCTCCACGACATTGCTTCCATATCTTTCCCACATCTCTCTTCTTTAACATAATTTACCCATTCACTACTCTTAATCCCATCCTTTCAGATCATCATTACTACTTCGTATAGATCTAGTTTATATGACATATATACAATACTTCAAAACCTGGCGAGGTACAGTTAAAAAACTGGATTTAACTATTCGACAGCAACTGTGTTTTCACCATTATATTATATACAAAATCCTCTTGTATCAGAGTATCCACATCCCTGACATTTCAGAAATTGATGTACCGTTGGTTCGTTCATAATTTCTGGGGCCACATTCTGCTGTGTGGGTTCAGTCTTATTGTATTAATTCATGTGGAAGGAGGAGGCTCCACCATGCACTTATTGGTCTCTTCTGATCAGATCTCTGATGCCTTTCATCTCTTTCATTAATCACATGCATGAATGCCTTCTCGTTTATGTATGTTCATCCCTGAAAAGGATATCCGTTCAAATCGGCGTTCGGTCCAGTGAAACCAATCTGGGCTGTAGCTGAAACAGCGGCCCGAACAATATGGACCAGCATTTATGACTTAAGCAAACAAAGGGAAAGCGAGCCTGTGGGCTTCCCTTTTACTGTATAAGGAAGTACCCATTTTCATCCTTCAATTTAACTACTTTAACTCACTAACCAAACCTGTTGTTGACAGGCCATCGTCCCTAACCTTTACTTTAGAGTATGATATGAAATGCTTTTTTAGTTTTAATATTCAAAAGAATAATAATTGAATACAAGAATATGAGGATACACATGCTGAAGACACGTTGGCCCAAAAAAAAAAAAAAGTTGAAAACGCAACACATCATGGGACTGTTCTCCTTTTTGTCTTCTGCCGGAATTGTGCCGTTCTTTTCATTGTTATTCACTTTTCGTCCCAAGATCCTCCTCCTGACAAGACGTTTACTCACATTTATTTCCCTTAGATGATGTGTTTTCCACCTTCCGTGTCCATGACGAGTAAATAAATGACCCCCGTCTTGTCTTTTTCACAAATATGTATAAAGTATAGAGAAGATGAAGCTGTAGTCCTTATAATCTTACCAATTTTTGAATTATGTGCTTATAGTTTTTTCCCCCTTTTTTAGTCCATCCTAATTGTTTGTTTAGTTACTAGGGCTGGTCCTTCTGTTTATCAAACACACTTGTAACGGACCATTCAGGAGTAGCAAAACCGATCTCTTAGCTGCCGCTTGATCTTAGAATCTAAGGCCAATCTTTAGAAAGCAAAACCGGAGTCAAAAGACAGACCAGATAATCAATTAATGTCGAACAATCTCTCCTTAAGCTGATAAAGAATAAGTAATTCGAAAGCGATAATCGCACAGGGGTGCAGATGTATGTGGAATAGAAGCTAGAAAATGAGCAAAGAGAGACCATGCGAATTGTGGCTCAACTGTTAGTCCGACAACTGAGATACAGGACGGTGGGATTAACTTAGACTAATAGCATTCGATTGTTTGATAAACGAAAAGACCAACTCTATTAACCAAACAAATAAAAGGGATGGAATAAAAAGAAAGAGAACCTTTTTTTTTTTTTTGCACACACTTATTTGAAACAATCCTATTCCAAGCCTTGTCGGGCACTAAATATAGACACTACTCTTATTTATGTAGGTCCTTACAATTTTTTTTTCTTTTTAACTAATAGGGGTTAAATCTAATAGAAAGGTTAGTCTCTTACAAAGTAACAAATTAATATTTGAATCTCACTAATACTAGACATAACAATAGGGATGCATGGGCTTAACCGATTAAAACATAAGGGCCCAATTAAAAGGAAACAAATTAGAAAGACCTTATTTAAAATTAAAGTAAATTATAAGAACTTACAATTATTTTTAAAAAATTTATTAATGGGAATTACCTAATATTATGCATGTATAAATTTGCAAAGTAGATATGATTTCTTATATAAAAATTTATTAGGTTATTGTCACCAACAAAATTTTAAAATAATATATATTTTTTAATTTTTCCAAAAGTAAAAGATGCAAAACGTGAAACCTTTGAGGATCTTATTATATCATTAAAACATTTTAACAAAAATGTTGATGTGTCCCACTCCCACCACTTATTATGTGCCTGTTTGGTAGGGCTTAAAATGAATGAGAAGCAGCTAATTTTGGGCAGAAGCCCGATTTCAAATATTGGTCCTATCTGGAAGGGCTTAAGCACAATTGAGCTTGTGTGGAATAAGCTCACTCGATGTGTGTTCAAATGGAAGCCCAAAAATCTAGCTTATTTTGAAGAGTTATCTGCTTATGCTTTACCATTGTGATGTGTCATATATTCCCCCATTTATTTTTCTCTCACTTCTGCCATATTCCCTCATAATTCACTTGTTCATTTATTTTATTTTTTTACCAGAGCTCTCCCACGACTGCTCTCTGTTGTCCAATGTGCTCCGTCGCCTCCTCGCCAGCACCACTGTCAGTGGTCACTGTGAGCTCTGTCACCTCTCTGTTGTAAGGTCATCATGTTCAGTGTGGTGTTGAGTGACCTCGAGCCTGCTCCTTCATCGTGAGTTCGACCTTGTCTGAGCTATTGTCACCATCTCCAACCCAGGTCGCTGCCGTCTGCTAGTGCATGTGAGCTATGCATGGAGATCTTAGCTTCCCAGTGGAATAGACTGTCCGATCTACCTCTAGCAAGCTTCAGGTGGTCTGATCTGTTGCAGGTTGGCCAGTTCCTTTTTTTGTGTTGGTTTTTCTGTTGGAGTTGGTGAATATGGAGGGAAATGTGATTGATCCAAGCATGTGGAGCTGTGTGTGTGTTGATCAATGTGTTGGCTGATAGCCTTTACAGTTTTGATCCTTTGTTGTTGCCTGAAATTGCCATCATCCCTGCTGTCCATCAATGCCACTCCCTTTGTTGGTTGAAGCAAGGAAATGTAGCCCATTTTAGGAAAAATCGTTCTCCTTCCTCCTAGAAATATTTCCTGTCCAGACACTACCGCGTGGTCCTTTTTTTTTTCCCCTTCTGTTTCAGTGCTTTGTTTCTTTTGCTTCATTATTTGAGGTTGAATATTTTTCATCTTCAGGCTTCTTTTACCCGAAACACGGTCTCCTTGGGTCTTTATGTACTCCTTTTATAATAGGACATAATGCTTATAGAATTTTAACAGAATGAATTGTTGAGTTCCTTGTTATATGAATTTTGGAGCTTCAGCTTGAATTTTTTGTTTGAATCATAAAGAGTGACAGCGTTGGAAGAGTGGTTGATGAAACTGATTCGTATTTAGCACAAAAGATCTATTTTAATAAATCCTGTTGAATGAAGTTTTGAATGAGTGGTTGATGGTAGTGATACGCTTAAACTTAAAATTTTTACTTGAATATGTTGATAAAATTTATCTAGGAAATGAAGTTTGGTATGTACTTTGGGTAGATTCTTAACAAGAAAGAAATAGTTCCGCTGATTATTAAGTTCAACAATTGTTGAAGATGAATCAGCCTAAAATCAAGTGCCTAGCTAGGTGGTAAATATGAGGTTGGAAGAACTATAAGTGAGGGATCATTTGGAAGAACTATAGGTGAGGGAATATTTACAACAGAATGAAATAGGAAATATCAAATTCAATGGGAGAAATAGAGATTTTATATAATTCAAATAGATAAAAAGAATTTTAACAATCATCATCAATGTGAATCATCAATTGATATTAATATAAATTTATTATATATATAAAATGAAAACCAAAGTCGATGTTGTAATGTAATAGTAGCATTCATTCATTCCAAATATTGAGACAATTTATTTTCCCCCCTATTTTTATTGCACTTTATATTTAAAATATTTCTTATAATTTATTTAAAGTTTTCAAATTTAATTCACTCATTAAATTTCACATCTTCATTGTATTATGTCAATTCTTTTTTTTTTTTCATGTTTCACTTTATATTTAAAATATTTTGTATGATTTTTCTAAAGTTTTAAAATTTAATTCACTTATTAAATTTCACTTCTTCATATTAAATTATTTTAAATTCATTGTATTATGTAAATTATTTTTTAATCATGTTTCATTATTTATTAAAACTCAAACCCATTTTGGTCATTTTATAACTAAATTTACTTTTGCTCAATTATAATCCAAACAACCTTTTATCAATCTCACTTTTATAAAATAACTTTTCTAAACTTCAATCCAAACACAATTTACTTTATCTAATTTAATTTTTATCCAATTTTAGTTTGTTAAAAATCAGATTAGAAATAAGTTACTTTTTTCACTGCCAATCTAATGGGACTCTATTTCTTTGATCTCCCAATAAATTCACCCCTTTTTCGACAAGCAGTACCCGCAACTTAAATAATTATCTCTTGTCCATTGCCAGAAGCCATAGAGCACCAAAAACTACAGAGCCATAATGGACTTGACGATGATCTTCCGGCAACCAACCATGCCGTTCAGCATCCTTGGACTACTAATCTTTGTCCACGCTATTTTCTCCATATCAAGAAGCCGCAGGAAAAACGCTACGCCCAGAAAGCTGCCACCGGAAGCTGGCCGCGGGTGGCCTGTGATTGGTCACCTCCACCTCTTAGGCGGGCCACAGCCACCACATATCACTTTAGGCAACATGGCCGAGAAGTACGGACCAATCTTCACAGTGAGGCTTGGTGTTCACCCAACCTTGATAATTAACAGTTGGGAGATTGCCAAGGAATGCTTCACTGTGAACGACAGAGCCTTCGCTAGCCGTCCCAAACTCGTAGCCTTCGAGGTCATGGGCTATAACTTCAGCATGTTCGGCTTAAGTCCCTACGGAGATTATTGGCGTCAGGTGCGCAAGATCGCCACGCTGGAGGTCCTCTCCAACCGTCGCCTGGAGATGCTCAAACATGTGAGAGAGTCCGAGGTTAAGTCAATCATGAAAGATACTTACGATCGTTGGTTAGAGGTGAACAAGAATGATCAGAATATAGAAGCAGAGCCCCTGTCATGTGAGATGAAGGAATGGTTTGGGGAGATAATCTTAAATGTTATGTTTAGAATGGTGGTGGGGAAGCGTTTTGCTGAGACCGAAGGGAAGGAAACGACACAGAAAGCACTGAGGAATTTTTTGGATCTGAGTGGAGCGTTCATGATGTCAGATGCGTTGCCGTATTTGAGGTGGATGGATTTGGGTGGCCAAGAGAAGGCCATGAAGAAGACAGCCACAGAGTTGGACCAATTTATTCAGTTTTGGTTGGATGAACACAGACGAAAGAGGGACTCGGGTTCAGGGCAAGCCGAGTCTAAGCTCGGTGACTTCTTGGACATGCTTGTTTCCAGCGTTGATGATGCTGAAATGATCGATGGCCACGATGCCGATAGCATGATTAAAGCTACATGCCTAGTCAGTCCTTCACGTTTACTTCTAAGCTCTTTTAATTTCCATTGCTTTTGCTGCGAATTCATACAGTTTTACTCATCTCGTTAATGTTGCTTCTCCAGATATGCACCGATACGTAAGTGTATGAACACATGATGATATGTTCTGTATACAGGCGGCAGGTGCAAAGTTAGGCAGCCACTTTTGACAAAAATACACTAAATATGACCATCCACAAATTATTCCAAATTTTCTTTTCCTTCTTCCTTTGTCGTGGGTCCAAAGCGTATATATATTTTAAAATATCCAATTGAAAAGGGAATCTGAGTATAAAGAAATTAAAATGAGATAGGATCCTTTTTGAGCTAGCTACACTAACCTGTTAAGAGGCCGGACTTATGCTCCTGTAAAAAAATCTCTCTCTTCTCTATACTCCTGACAAGTGACAACCTTACAATGCAAAACTCTCAAGACCGGGCCTCGCTTTACATAAATATGATGTTGGAAATCTCCAATATTTTTGCGCTTTTTTGCCAATGAAACCGAATATTTCTTAAATCTGCAACGATTAAATACTAGTTTATACTCATGTGCTTATGCTGACTGGTTATCACTGAGGCCGCCAATTCTGCAAAATTGAGAGTTGAGTGTGAAATTTGCAGGCCCTAATTTTAGCCGGAACAGACACAACAACAGTGACGCTAACTTGGGCTCTCTCATTACTTATGAACAATCCCGAAGTCCTAAAAAAGGCAGCAAAAGAGGTAGACACAGAGGTTGGAAGAGAAAAGTTAGTGGTGGAATCAGACTTAAGGAACCTGCCTTATCTGCAAGCAATCATAAAGGAAACCATGCGCCTGTACCCAGCCGCACCACTTGGCCTCGTGCACGAGTCTATGGAAGATTGCACTGTGGCTGGCTACCACATACCCTCTGGCACGCGTCTCTTGACCAATCTTTCAATGCTCCATCGGGACCCACGAGTATATGAAGATCCATTGAAGTTTAGTCCAGAGAGATTCCTAACTTTCCACAAGAATGTTGACTTGAGAGGCCAACATTTTGAATTGATTCCTTTCGGCTCTGGCAGAAGAATGTGCCCTGGAATCTCATTTGCTCTCCTAATGACGCAATTAACGCTTGCTAGTTTGTTGCATGGCTTTGATATTGCAAGCCCTGATAATGAACCAATGGATATGAGAGAACAGGTTGGGTTGACGAATATCAAAGCCTCACCACTCCAAGTCCTTCTTACCCCACGTCTCTCCCCCCATCCTTATGGATAAGAGGAAGAATAGTGAGGCTTTAATGATGTGTTTGTCCTTTCAAATGTCATCTGGTTTTTGGTTTTGGCAAGTTTTGCAGTCTCAGTTTCACGAAAATAACACCGGCGGTTTCATTAGGCTTGTGAGCTGAGGAATCGGATGTCACAGGCCAAATTCAGCTTGCATGAGTCATATTCAGAGTGTTATCCTCATTGTTAACAATCAAACCGAAGTTACTCGGCGGATACTGGTGTCTGCCCGCCTTGGAGCTTGCACCTACAATATATCCTCTCGCCTTGGTTTACAGCTCCGGTCATAATCTTGCTGCTGGGTATTGACTGTCTTATCATTTTAGTCCTTGGTTTGTTGGAAGTTTGAATGCGGCCATCGGTTTAGGTTGTTGCCATAGTGGTTTCTACGATTGTTGTGTGCTATCGTCTTGACTTTCCTATCATTTGGTGTGCGGTGTGTTTTATGTATGCTTACTTTTTGTACTTTTCTTTTTTCAATTAATAGAATTGGCTATGTTATCAGAAATATAATCAAGGTTGTAACCAGTTTCAGTACTCATTAAAGTGATGAGCACCATGATGCTTATCAAATTTTAACCATTTAAATTTATTATGAACGGTCAAAGTTTAATATTTAATATTTTTGTTCTTCAAAAAATGTTTTTAGTACGCATATAATTCATGGTAAATTTTTTTAAAATAAATTTTTTTGTTTAAAAATTACTAGTTAAAAATTTTAAATCTAAGCCATTTAAACTGATTTTGTAAGGTTTAGATTTCACCACAACGATGAGTATCATGGTACTCATAACTGCGATGAGTAGTAAAACTGATTGTGTTATATCTGATGCTTTGATCATAAACATTTGAATTCTGTATTAGAAAACCCACTAGATTATTTCCGTTAAGAAACTGCATTTAACTATTTGCACAATTCTGTTTTCAACATCTTAATAACTCGTCCTCTCGTCCATATCCCTGATATATCCAGTAGTAAACCGTTGGTTCTTCTCACTAATTTATTGGAAGAAAGAGGCTCCCCCGTGCACGTCTCCTCGTATATATCCAGAATTTATAATGGTTGTAATATTACTCGGAGTGTTCGCGTGTGTACTGTTTACCTGCCTTCTCAACTAAAGAGAGACTTGAAGCTTGTTAATCTGGTTTTACTTTCAACTTCTTTGTTTATTTTGACAATAAATTTGCCAGGATAAACAATATCACCTCATGTATGATGGTTAAGTCATTGTTTTCCATATTCGGGGTGACAGGGGAGGGAAGATATTGTCGCGTGCCTAATTAGGTGAAACGTTCCGTATGTTGTCACGCACAAGTCACAACTCAAGAAAACGATGAATGAGTTGTGTTATTCATGTTTGGATAATTATAGCATTTACTGTATATTATTAAATAATAAATAGGAGTATTATTTATCTTTTTAGTCAATGATATCAAACTTTGAAAAAAAAAACAAAGAAAGACAAGCGATTAATTCAAAAGCTATCATGAAGGGAGAAAGTTTTATGTAGAAGGCGGCGAGGGTGGGTCTCTCATCTCTGCTTCTCTACATTTTCTTATTCTCTCGTCCTTTTGGCTGGCGCTATTGCCGTTAGTTAAGTTTTACTGGCAAAAGATCCATCCTCTGGTAATCCTCATCATGGAGTTTTGCAAGAAACACCACCTTTTTATTCAAGTTCAGTATGGGCGAGTTAAAGACTTAAAAGTGATTCAGTCCTGAGGCCGGGGATATTTGGATATTCTTAAAAGTATTTTAAAGAGTATTTTTTCGTACATCGTAATAAACTTCTTCATGTATTTACTTCGTATATTGTAAAATTACTTTTGAAAATATAGTTTGGTTTCCATCTAAATATTTTCTCAATGATATTGAAATCATAGTTTGGTTCCGTCTAAACAGTAAAGGGTTCGGAACAAATTTGGGCTTCGATTGAAGCCAAGGCCCGCACAATATGGGGTAGTAATTTTTCGGCTTTGCTCATTATCAAGCCCCTTTTCCTCGTATAAGGAAGTACCACTTTCATCCATCAATTTACCGTTTCTTTTCCAAGTCACTAGTTTTGTTTCCAAGACATTGTCCCGTCTCTATTTACTGGTTCAAAAAGTTAAAGTTCATTTAATCGCTTTTATTGCAAAGTATGATATGAAATGCTTTTTAGTTATTAAACTTAAAAGAATAATAATTGAATATACAGATGGAAAAATACATATGTTGAAAACACAACACATCATGGGACTGTTCTATTCCTTTTGTTATTCAATTTTCACCATAAGATCCTCCTCATGACAAGATGTTTACTCACATTTGTTTCCCTTTCGTCTTTGTGTTTCTTCCTTTTTGTGCCTGTCATGATCGAATAAATGACCCTGTGTTATTTCTTTTATGCAATGTGTATAAAGTATACACTGTCATATTATTTGGAAAAAAATTTATGTCAATTTACTTATATACATTATAACAAATTTCTCAATCACACGTGACTATACGTCCTTTTTTATTTAATGTAAATTTATAATTAAATTTTATTAAATGATAATATTTTAAAAATAAGAATCACAGTTATGTGTGATTGAAAAACTTGACATAATGAATATAAAAAATTTGATATAAATATAGTCTACATTATTTATATACATGTATATTTATTCAATTCAAAATTTTAATTTTACTGAAAACATTTTTTATCTTTAAATTGGAAACATTGGAAATAATAATTAGTATTACTTGAAACATCACGTAAATAAAAAAAAATGAAAATAATGTAACTAAAATAAATATGTAAAAATTTATCCTGAAATATCCAAAAAAGGCCTTTGCACTCAGATTTTTATAATTACAAACATAGAATCTAACATCCGGATTCTTACTAAAGGGTGACATTCAACCGTCTATATTTTGTAATTAGATTAAGGTGCGTCCAGCACCCCGAACTATTTTTCCAAGTATGCCTAGTGTCCTAAAATAATTTTCAGTGCATCCAGTGTTCCAAACTAATTAAAACGGTGCATCCATATCCCGGCCTAACAGAAAAGTTAACTTTGACCGTTACCTTGCTAACTCAGCCGAATGTTGACCAAAAAATCCTACGTGACGAACACGCAGGTGTCTGATGTGCATTATTTTGACAAGTTAAGATGAGCCCAGCACTCTGAACTATTTTTACAGGCTCGCCCAGTATCCTAAAGTAATTTTTAGTACATCCAGTATTCCAAACTAATTAAAACTGAATAAATCGGTCCAACTCTTTGGCCCTCTTCTTCATCCAACCAAAGCTGATTAAATTAGTCCAGAGAGATTCCTAACTTCCCACAGGAATCTTGACTTGAGAGGCCAACATTTTGAATTGATTCCTTTTGGCTCTGGCAGAAGAATGTGCCCTGGAATCTCATTTGCTCTCCCAATGGCGCAATTAACACTTGCTAGTTTGTTGCATGGCTTTGATATTGCAAGCCCTGATAATGAACCAGTGGACATGAGAGTACAGGTTGGATTGAACAATATCAAAGCCTCACCCCTCCAAGTCCTTCGTACCCCACGTCTCTCCCCTCTTCTCTATGGATAAGAGGAAGATTGGTGAGGCTTTTAATAATGTGTTTGTTTATAATTAAAGGTTGTCCGGCAGGGGGAAGCTTTAGTTATTACTACCTCTGTTCCTAAATATAAGAGTTAGTTAATTAATTTAAATAGATTAAGAAAATAAGTTAAGTTAGTTATTTGTAACAAAAATTATTATCTTTTCTAAAATATCCTTACTAATTAAGTGTATTGGCTATAATAAATATTATTAAAAAGACTGATTTGAAAAAAAATAGATAAATATAAAAAAAAATAGATTGAAATATCATGTTAAAGACCAAAATAAAAATTAAACTAAATTTTATATTAAGAATGGGAGCTAATATAATTTATAGTTTTCACGTGTTATGTAACATGATACTTTTTTATCGTAAGTGTTTCACTCGTATTTAGCTATTTGCACGTACAATTCTGTTTTCAACATTTTAATTGCTTGTCCTCTGGTACATATCCCTCACATATCCATTAGCTGACCTTTGGGTCTTTTGACTAAAGGGCCCGGCATGTTGTCTTGCATGGTTAGTCTTGTTACAGTAGTATTAATTTATTGGAAGAAAGAGCTAGGCTCCCCCATGTATACTCGTATATATCTAGAAATTCAATGGTCGCAATATTACATGGAGCGTATGTGTGTTGTTTACCTGCCTTCTCAACTACTCCCTTGGAGCTTTCTTAATGCGGTTTTGTTTTCAACTTCTCTCTTTATTTTAACAATAAATCTTGCAAGAAAAACAATATTCATGACGAGTGTCGAGTATGTTAAGTGATTATTAATGCTGGCCACTTGCCAGTGCTTTCAAAATTAAAATAAATTTTTGGCCAAAAAAAAAAAATTAAAATAAATGTATTGAGGCTCTCTTCATTATGCTTTTCATTTTAGTGAAAGCTACATTTACAATAAATGCATGAAACTTTTCACCATATATGAGGTCACATCTGACTGGTTTAGTGCTATCATTAGCATCGTACACTTGTCCTTTTATTGTGATAAACTACTCAAAATTCAACATTACTATTTAGGATCTGACATTTTTAATCTACAATTTTCGAAATGATGATTTTAAAAAAATGCTATTTATAGGTTCACATTTTTTATTTATTAAAATACAAAATCATTTAAATTAAATCTAAAACAATATAAATAGCCTAAATTAAGAAGAATACCCCATGATAAATATGGAATCTACTTCTAAATCTTATTCAGACATGATAGGTAGCATTGCTGCTCAAATAGCTAACCGATAATAATTTAAAGCTTGTTTAGATTAATTTATAAATAACTTTTTAAACATATTTACGAAATACGAAATAAATATGTGAGGGTTTTGTCTCGATTTATGTAAACTTACTTTAAAACTCATTTTAAACAGAGCTCCAAACAAGTCCTTCAAAGCTCGGCCGAACAGGACGGTTGGGCAAACACTTTTTCGGCTTGGTTCGAAGCATTAGACTGTCTAAGGGGTTAAGCCGGTTTCAGCCATTTAGAACAGCCTTTTGAGCTAGGAACCGGATTTAAACCGGAACCCGGAACAGTCTGATAAAAACCGGATGTCAGATATGAAGAACAAAGTGAAGGGGAAACAATGGGAGAAAACAGAACAGGAAAAAAGCAGAAATGAAGGAGAGAATGACACATTAAAAGAACACAAATAAAAAAGGAAAGAACAAAAACTAATAATGAAAATTACTGTTTCTTGTTTTGGCTACTGAGAAATCAACGAAGAAAGCTCCGGGAAGAAGAACCGCTTCAAAAATTGAAACACTGGAACCCGGAGCTACTTGACGAAAGAGAGCAGAGAGATGAAAAGAGAGAGAGAGAGAGACGTAGGTAATAATAAAAGAGAATGGAAATGGAAATAGAAATGAAAGGTTAGTTTTGATATGACATACATTGTATTGCTTTTCGTTTTCTTTAGACAAAAATCTGACATATGATATGAAATTTATTGCGTTTTACTTCTCTAAAAAAAAAATAATGCTGGTGGTTTTTATTTTAAAAAAAAGGATCGAAATCTTATAGGAAAAAAAGGATACAAATATTTGAGGATCTAATATATAATTTTTTCCCGATCAATCAATACAAGATCTAATATATAAACTAAACATTACAATAATCTTGTTTGTTTTTCGGGACAGTTGGTCCACAATTTTTTAGATTTAAAACAAAATTAAAAATTAGCTTGTGGAGGTGCCCCCGGTGATGTGGCCCTCCATTTTGTTAGTGCTTTGATTGCTTTTGATTACTTAAGAGCTTTCTTCATTAAGCATGCCATCATTTCAAAGCGGTCTCTAATCACTTTGCAAGGAGCCATAACCACTAACCAGCACCAGAGATACAGTGGCCATGGACCTGACAGTCTCCACTCAATCAACCCTTCCGTTTGCCATCCTTGGATTCTTTCTCTTTCTCTATGCTATCTTCTCCGTATCAAGAAGCCGCAGAAACAAAACTACGCATAGAAAACCACCACCAGAAGCAGGCGGTGCATGGCCTGTGTTTGGGCACCTCCACCTCTTAGGCGGGCCAGAGCCACCGCACATAGCCTTAGGCAAGATGGCCGACAAATACGGACCAATCTTCTCCCTAAGGCTCGGGGTTCACCCAACCTTGATTGTGAGCAGCTGGGAGATCGCCAAGGAATGCTTCACCGTCAACGACCGAGCCTTCGCCGGCCGTCCCAAAATCTTAGCCTTCGAAATTTTGGGCTACAACTTTGGCATGTTCGGCACCAGTCCCTACGGACCCTACTGGCGTCACATTCGCAAGATCGCCACCCTCGAGGTCCTCTCCAACCATCGCCTGGAGATGCTCAAACATGTGCGAGAGTCCGAGGTTAAGTCGGCCATGAAAGATACGTACGACCGTTGGATGGAGTCGAAGAATAATGAAGGCGGTGGGAATTCGCAATCAGTGTCTCTTTCATGTGAGATGAAGAAATGGTTTGGGGATATAGCCTTCAGTGTTGTGCTTAGAATGGTCGCGGGGAAACGCTTAGATGAGACTGAAGAGAACAAAACGGCACGAAGAGCACTGAGGGAGTTCTTCAAACTGGCCGGAGAATTCGCGATATCAGATGTGTTGCCGTATTTGAGGTGGCTGGATTTGGGTGGCCAAGAGAAGGCCATGAAGAAGACGGCCAAAGAGTTGGACCAATTTATTCAGTTTTGGTTGGATGAACACAGACGCAAGAGGGACGCCGGTTCAGGGAAAGCCGAGCCTGAGCTCGGTGACTTCATGGACGTGCTTCTTTCCATAGTTGATGAGGCTGAAATGATCGACGGCCACGATGCTAATACTATCATTAAAGCTACAAGCCTGGTCAGTCCTTTTAATTTTCCGTTGTTTTTTCTATGCGCGTTAGGAGTTAGGACGACTTGCTTTTCTCATCTCATTGGAGTTCTATCCAGCTAGGTGCGTGCACACAATAGCATCCAATGCCCGTATCCGTAACACTTTTTTTATTCTAAGAAATAGTTTTATTTTTAATTTAATTTTAAATATAAGATTCTAATTTATTTTTTTATATTTATTTATTTTTTAAGATATTCTTTATAGTAGCTGCATATACTAAATGCTTTATCAAATAGTATTTTAACAAAAGTAACGTATATTTATTATAAGTAACTAACTTAACAAACTTACTTAATCTACTCAAATTAGTCAACTAGTTCTTAACCTATAAATCAATTATCAATTCAGACAAAAAATTAATAACTTAGGGGATCCGTGACTGTGCACGTAATTAACTGAATTATATTCTTTTATTTTTCTTCACTTGGCGTCTATACAAAATACTTGATAAGTGCTGGTCTAAAAAAAATACTTGATATGTCAAATAAGAGCATTCAATTTATGAATTGCGAATTTCGAAGGCTAGGTTCCAACAAAAGAAATAGGTCTATGTGTGCTCATATGCTGCCTGGTTTTCATTCACTGAGGCTAATCTTTGCAAAATTGAAAATTGAATTGGAAACTTGCAGGCCCTGATTCTGGGCGCGACAGACACAACAACAGTGACACTAACTTGGGCTGTATCTTTACTTCTGAACAATTCTCAACTCCTAAAGAAGGCAGTACATGAATTAGACACGCAGGCTGGGAGAGAAAGATTAGTAGTGGATTCAGACCTCAAGAACCTGCCTTATCTTCAAGCAATCATCAAGGAAACCATGCGTCTGTACCCAGCCGCACCACTAAGTGTGGTGCACGAATCTGTGCAAGATTGTGCTGTGGCTGGCTATCACGTACCCTCTGGCACGCGTCTTTTGACCAACCTTTCAAAACTCCATCGAGACCCACGAGTATTTGAAGATCCACTGGAGTTTCGGCCAGAGAGATTCCTCAGTACCCACAAGGATTTAGGCTTAAGAGGCCAGAATTTCGAGTTCATTCCCTTTGGAGCTGGCAGAAGAATTTGTCCTGGAATCTCATTTGCTCTCCTAATGATGCAACTCGCGCTTGCTAATCTGTTGCATGGCTTTGATATTGCAAGCCCTGATAACCAACCGGTGGACATGCGAGAACAAGTTGGGCTCACCAGCATGAAAGCCTCACCACTTCATGTGCTTCTTACCCCACGTCTCCCTCCTCATCTCTATGGATAAAACCAGACATTGAGGGAGGATCAAGCAACAATAATAGCACCTGCATATTAACTGCATATATCCGTATATTTGAGATATGCAGTATTAATAAACAAACACCTCTCTCGTATATTTCTCTCTCAACATATAACCAAACTAATATATAATGAAGGATATGTAGTCTAGAGAACCCAAGAGCAGAATAAGTCAATAGAGACTTTTAATTATATATATTTGTTTACAAGTTAGACAGAAAGGGAGAACCTTAATAACTTTTTGTTTCTTTCCTATGATCATAATGTCATGATATATGAGTATTCGATTATTTGACAGTTTGATAGTAATTTTTTTCCCATAAAATACAAGCTAGTTACGTCGTCTTTTATATGGATAAATGCCGAATGGATAAATGCGCCTTGGAAGAGGACACGTGCATGTGGATGATTTGTGAATAATGTGCCCTGCGCCGAAAGGCGAATTGGCTGAATTCTGTGCTGACTCTGCGAGGATACGGCCAAATTCTGATTCCTGTCAACCAATTCCATACACAACCGTTAAAATTATATATATATATATATATATATATATAAAATAAAAGCCAGACCAGTCAGTAACCGACAGAGATGATAAGTTAAACCCTTCACCCCCAAAAAAAAAATGATAAGTTTAACACCAATATGTTAGATTTAAGTCGAACTAAAATCAGACAGATCATAACTAAAATAATATAAACGTTAATTATATAGTAAATATTTTAAACAAAATAATACTCTTTTGGTTCTAAATATAAGACCCTTATACATATTACAAAAAATGTATTATATTTAGGATCGGAGGAGTAATATAAGAGCAAGATCAGAATATAAACAATTTTAAATAATAAAAAAAGTAATAGTACTAAAATTAAAAAAAAAATTTAACTTTTTATTAATAAAAATGTACATCCTTAAAATCTTTTGATTTTAAAGAATTTATAATATACATAAACTTTATTTTGTTTAAAAATAAACTGTTAAAAAATGGAATATATAGAATTTTTTGGACCTTGTATAGAATTTTTTGGGTTAGAGTAAGGACTACATGGGTATCTGATAGATATATAGTCCTCAATATAAACATCTTTATACACACTATAAAAAGGATCTTATACTTAGAATCGTAGGAGTATTATTATGCCTGTTTTTTTTTTACACTTGAGACATATTATTATACCTATGCATTCAATATAATTAATTTATTATCAACTAAGCAATTAAACTACACGGAAAATCAGGATTGAAAATTTAATTTTGTATGCATTCAATCTCTCTATGCAACTTTTCAACTTTGTCTTTTCTCAATGTAGCAACAGATTTGACATTGATAATATTAGGCTCAACGTCCCCCATACAAGCCCTCTTTCTTTACCTATTTCCTTCCGTTTCTATTTTTCCTCTCCTCGTCTTTGTTCATCTTCTGCGCAGACTTGGTTGGTTTCTTGTTTTCTCTCCCTTTCTCTCATCGCTCTCCTTCTCTTTCTAAATAATTTTTCATTTTTTTCCTTCAAGCTTGTTCTTCGCTCACACGTGCCTCTCTCTCTCTCACACACACACACACAGTTTTCTGTAAGCTTTCGTCTTTTTCTTCTGGTAATGGAGTGATGTCACAGTTTGGGGGAGACAAATAAAGTAACCCGCTAACCCAGGGGTTACCCTGATTCCGTTTGAGTCACACTGATCCAGAACAGCTTATTTTGGGCTAGATTTTCTCTGATTTTGGGGGAAAAAAATCAGACAGGACAAACAGCGGTTTGCCAGTTTCTGGTTTCTAGTCTGAAATGTGGTTTGTCGGTTTGAGTTTGAACCGGCTAGTCTGATTTGATTTTAAATACCATGTAAAATATCGCCAATTATTTTTAATTTTATTATTTGCCGTTTTTTATTTGATGATTATTTTCTAATTTTTCTCTAATATTAAAAATGAAGGGAAAAATGAGAAATATGTAAATGGTTTACAATTTGAGAGAAGATATAAAATTTTAATAAAAATTAAATTAATTTTTTTTTATCAATTTAATGTACTCTTTGTTATAAAAAAATATATCTAAGTGATTTATATTAAAGAACAAAATGGTGTGAACATAAGGAGCATGTTATGAGAAGAAAGATTTCAACATAAATGCCCATCTGTCTATGCTGTTTCTTATGTATAGTTGTAACTGTAATTTTAAATTTATAGTAGTAAAATGCTCCTCTGGTCCTATTTATAAGGCAGAAAAAGAAGTTTTTTGGGTTCTATTTATAAGTCACTTCATTAAATTTTCAGTATAAATATATTATTTTGTCGTTTATTTATTACGATGTAAGTAGTTATATCTTTTGAAAAGTGTATATATTAAATATGGGTAAAGTTGAAAAATTGTTATATTTTAATAGAGAGTTAATACATTTTAATGTTTTTCTTAATCTGTGTGAAATATACTGAAAATATCTTATAAATAAGATAAGAGGAGTATTTGTTACTCCCTCCGTTCTTTATTATAAGAGACAAATAACCGAAGTACGTTGATAAAAAAAATAGTTAAAATTAGTTAAGAACAATTAATAGATAAAAAGCATAATTTTTTTTTTCAAAAATGCCCTCATTAATAAGGAAAGAGAGCATGAGAGAGAATAATTAAATTATTAAAAGAAAGAGAAGTGGGAGAGAGAGTGTGTGTGAGTTGAAGATAATAAATATGGGTAAAATAGGAAATCAACACAAAGAAGTAGAGACAACTTTTAAGTGTCTCTTATATACGAGAACATGTCATAAGCATCAAATGTCTCTTATAATAAGGAACGGAGGGAATATAAAAATCATTGATTGTAATTTAATAATGCATATTTTTTTTGCCAATAATAATAATGCATATTTTGAAAGATACGAATATACCATCGGTTGTCTACCGAACAATATTTACGTTGGCAAGGAAAAAAGTCATATATATCAACAAGAAAATTTAATGTCTCCTATAAGGGAAAAAAGAAAAGTTTAGTGTGGGTTTTTGTGTGGCGTTCAGGGTTTCGAAAAATCAGCCACAAGTTGGCCAAAGAAAGAAAAATCAGCCACACGGCCACACCTATTGGCTGTTTTTTTATCGCTATTTATCTTTTTATATTATATCCTGCAACACAGAAATTAGGAAACTGGTATCACTTAGAGATGCCCATACACAGCACCAGAAACCAGATTACTGCCGCCATGGACGTGTTAATCAGATCAAGCGTACCGTTAGGCACCCTGGGATTGTTGCTCTTTCTCTACCTTCCCTTTCCAAATCAAGAAGCCACCGTAGAAATAAAACTACGGGTAGAGAACCGCCACCGGAAGCAGGCGGCGCGTGGCCAGTGATAGGGCATCTCCACCTCTTAGGCGGGCCAGAGCCACCGCACATAACCCTAGGCAAGATGGCCGACAAATATGGACCAATCTTCACCATGAGGCTGGGGGTTCACCCAACTCTGATTGTGAGCAGTTGGGAGATTGCCAAGGAGTGCTTCACCGCGAACGACAGAGTTTTTGCTAGCCGTCCCAAGTTCGTAGCCGGCCAAGTCATGGGCTACAACTACAGCATGCTCGGAGCCAGCCCCTACGGATCCTACTGGCGTCACGTGCGTAAAATCGCCACGATGGAGGTCCTCTCCAACCATCGCCTCGAGATGCTCAAACATGTGAGAGAGTCCGAGGTTAAGTCAGCCATGAAGGACACCTATGATGGTTGGGCGCAGCTGAACAGCAGTAGCGGTCAGAATCAAGAAGCAGTGCCTCTGTCTTGTGAAATGGAGAAATGGTTCGGAGACATAATCTTAAATGTTGTGTTTAGAATGGTGGTCGGAAAACGATTTGTTGAGACCGAAGGGAATGAAAGGATTCGGAAAACATTGAGGGATTTGTTCGACCTGAGCGGAGCATTCGTGATATCAGATGCGTTGCCGTATCTGAGGTGGCTGGATTGGGGCGGCCAAGAAAAGGCCATGAAGAAGACGGCAAACGAATTAGAACAATTTATTCAGTTTTGGTTGGATGAACACAGACGCAAGAGGGACTCCGGTTCAGGGCAAGCCAAGCCTAAGCATAGCGCCTTCATGGATGTGCTTCTTTCCAGCACTGATGAATCTGAAATGATTGATGGCATCGATTCTAATACTATGATTAAAGCCACAAGCCTGGTCAGTCTTTCACCCACGTATTAATTATCTCTAATTTTTGTCCCTTTTCATTTGTAAATGTTCATGATATTCTTATCTATGTATACGTCTAAATTAATGTATGTTCTTCGTCTGATCTACCCAGTATATACATAAGCAAACATAGACATGGCATCTTGAAGGGTGAAGTCGCAAATTAAGGTTGAATGGGAAATTTACACTTTGCAGGTGCTAATATTAGCGGCAACAGACACAACAACAGCAACACTAACTTGGGCTCTGTCTTTATTACTGAACAATCGTGAAGTCTTAAAGAAGGCAGTAGATGAAGTAGACGGACAAGTTGGGGGAGAAAGGCTGGCATCAGAATCAGACTTGAAGAACCTGCCGTATCTGCAAGCCATCCTGAAAGAGACGCTGCGCTTGTACCCAGCCGCACCACTCAATCTGCTGCACAAGTCGATGGAAGATTGCACAGTGGCAGGGTACCACATACCCTCAGGCACCCATCTCTTGACCAACCTCTCAAAAATTCAACGGGACCCACGTGTATATGAAGACCCATTGGAGTTTAGGCCAGACAGATTCCTAAGTACTCACCAAGATTTGGACTTGAGAGGGCAGCATTTTGAGCTGATTCCCTTTGGTGCAGGGAGAAGAATGTGCCCTGGTGTCTCATTTGCTCTCTTGATGATGCAACTCACGCTCGCCAATCTGCTGCATGGCTTTGATATTGCAACGCCTCATAATGAGGCAGTGGATATGCGAGAACAGGTCGGACTTACTAACGTCAAAGCCTCACCACTCCATGTCCGTCTTGCTCCTCGTCTCTCATCCCGTCACCTGTATGGATGACGGGGGGGAAAAAAAAAATGAACTAGCTAGCTTTGGCTTTTATTATATGGACCTGTTTTTAAGTCTGAATAAATATCTAATTAATGAATGGAGGCTTTTCGGGACTCATTATTTTTGGCCTATTGTATATATTCTTTGAGAAAATCCCTAAAAAATATTATTGAATTTTAAAATTTTATATCAATATTGGTTATTATACTCGTTGAGAACATGACTACATTTGAAAAGTAAATGACAACATATTTTATAATAATGTTTTATTTAGAATGTTGACTCATTTTTTTTTGGAATTTTCTCATATTCTTTTGCCAAGTTTATTTATTATTGTTATGAATAAATCATATTCTTGTCATTAGTTTAATTGAAGAATCTAAGTCTAATTGTCTTCCTGCACAATAATTAATTGATATATACAACATAAATTGTATATAATTTGGAAGTTTGTATAAGAGAATTTTGTTTTGGAAAATATAAGTAAACAAGACTTCTATGCATGGATCATCATCTTTTTACCCTTTTTTGGGCCTGAAGATCATCAATTTTTTACCTGAAATATATGGTTTTACATTATGGTCGCGTCCTAATGTTTATCAGCACCCAAAATATTGAATTGAATTCGCTGTAAGGATACTAGGGGTGCCAACAGACGCATGAAAACGCCGGAAGATGCGTGAGGTGGCGTGCGGGGTGACACGCAATGTTGCGGTTGACAAATTCCAATCGGATACTAATTAGGCTTTTTTTTCTTCAAGTAATAGTAAGTTCATTGTGCAAACAACGACTCAAAGTTAATTTAAATATTAAATTCAGATTAGAGAAGTTAGGATAGGTTCTATAAATTAATTTTTTTCCAAAAAAATAATGTGAGATATAACATGTGAAAAAAATATATTATGATATCCTGCATCTGTTACTTAATACAATACCTAATTTAATTTTTGATTTGTTTTTAAATATAAGATGTAATATATTACCTCTATTTTTTAATATAAGATTTAGTTTAACTGTTAATTTGATACTAAATATAAGATTTTAATTTATTTTATCTCTCATATTTATTTATTTTTTTAAAGTAGTTCTCATAATAATTACATATGTTAACTGTTCTATAAAATAGTAGTTTTAATTAATATACATTATTAACAAGATTCTTTTGAGAAAAATAACATCTATTTATTATAAATAACCATATTAACAAATTTTTATATTTAAATTAGTGATCTAGCTTTTATATTAAACACTAAAGATAATATTTATAATTATTTCAAACAATGTATCCTTGAGCTCAATCATCTTTTTTTTTAGCAAGGTCGTTTTTATTTTAGAAGTGTTTGGACGGAAACAAAATTATAATTTTAAAAATATTTATACAATATATAAAATAAACATGTGAAGACTTCAATTTACTGAGAAGTGTGTTTTAAAAATACTTTTTTTTAGTAATCCAAGCACTCCCTTGACTATGAATTAAACAAAAAAAAAAACACTCCATTAGCATAACACCATACATAAGACATGCCAGCCAGGGATTTGCATTGGATGCTCATTAGTTTTGATGAGCACCCAATGCTCATCAGATCTGGACGATTCATATTTAATTTTATTTTTATTTTTTTAAATAATTATTTTAATAGGTATAGGATAAAAAATAAAATAATCTCTTAATTATTATTCTTTAAAAATATAATTTTTTTTATTTTTAAATAATTATTTAAAATATTAAATTTGAACCGTCCAGATTAGATCTAGACGGTGCAGATTGCTCGTCAGGGCACTTGGTACTCATCTGTGGAGGCGCCAGCTAGTAACGAAGTGGGCCCCATATGCTCCCTCGTGGCTCCGGTTCTGCACGCTTAAGACCTCCGGCTTTTACCCAAACCTGCGCCGAGAGGGATATTGCTGTTGCGGGGCGAAAATGGAATTCAACAACCAAATACGGTGGACCAACTCTCTCTTTTTATTTTCATTTTTATCAACAATCAGCATATTAGTAGCTGCCCTGTTCTCCATCTGCTTCATTCAACATTTACAACATACCCATACACAGCACCAGATCCCAGATTATACCCACGACCATGGACCTGACAATCTCCAAGCAATCAGTCACTCCCTTTACCTTCTTTGGATTGTTGCTCTTTCTCTACCTTCTTTTCTCCATATCAAGAAGCCATCGTAGAAACAACAGTACGGCTAGAAAACCACCACCGGAAGCCGGCGGTGCCTGGCCTGTGATTGGGCACCTCCACCTTTTAGGCGGGAAAGAGCCACCGCACATCACCTTAGGCAACATGGTCGACAAATACGGACCAATCTTCACCGTAAGGCTCGGTGTTCACCCCACCTTGATTGTGAGCAGTTGGGAGATTGCCAAGGAACTTTTCACTGTAAACGATAGGGTCTTTGCTAGCCGTCCCAAATTCTTGGCTGCCGAAGTCATGGCCTATAACTTCAGCATGATCGCCTTCAGTCCCTACGGAGATTATTGGCGTCAGGTGCGCAAGATCGCCACGCTGGAGGTCCTCTCCAACCATCGCCTCGAGATGCTCAGACACGTGAGAGAGTCCGAGGTTAAGTCATCCATGAAGGAAACCTACGATCGTTGGGCAGAGTTAAACAACAGCAGCGATCAGAATCTAGAAGCAGCGCCTCTGTCATGTGAGATGAAGAAATGGTTCGGAGACATAATCTTAAATGTTGTGTTTAGAATGGTGGTCGGAAAACGATTTGTTGAGACCGAAGGGAATGAAAGGATTCGGAAAACATTGAGGGATTTGTTCGACCTGAGCGGAGCATTCGTGATATCAGATGCGTTGCCGTATCTGAGGTGGCTGGATTTGGGCGGCCAAGAAAAGGCCATGAAGAAGACGGCAAACGAATTAGAACAATTTATTCAGTTTTGGTTGGATGAACACACACGCAAAAGGGGCTCCGGTTCAGGGCAAGCCCAGCCTAAGCACGACGACTTCATGGATGTGCTTCTTTCCGTTGCTGATGAAGCTGAAATGATTGATGGCCGTGACTCTATCACTCTAATTAAAGCCACAAGCCTGGTCGGTCTCTCACATATATCCTAATCCTCTTTCTTTCTATCGATATTCAATATTTATTTTTTGGGATTTTAAAGCCGTCATCCGCACAAGTTTTTCAGATCCTAATTCATGCTTCTGTGCTTTTTATTTGTTTTGTCCGCATCATATACATTCATGATATTCTATTTTATTTAAAAAAGAGAGAGATATTACTGTTATAAGCGAAAATTCATTAATAAAATTTAGAATTATATATATATCTACCTTTCCTTATTAAGAATAAGATAAAGATATTATTTAATTAGATACATGCTGCGAGGTGGGTGCGTGCGCGTGTCCGTGTGTTCATCATTACACAGAAGCAAACATAGATGGCATCAGGATAATTTAATTTGTGTGGATGCCTGGTTTTCACCAAGGCCAGTTTTAAAAGGTCGCATGGGAAATTTGCAGGCAATAATTTTAGCGGCAACAGACACAACGACAGGGACGCTAGCTTGGGCTCTGTCTTTACTTGTGAACAATCGCGAAGTCCTAAAGAAGGCCGTAGATGAAATAGACGCACAAGTTGGGGGGGAGAGGCTGGCATCAGAATCAGACTTGAAGAACCTGCCGTATCTGGAAGCCATCCTGAAGGAGACGCTGCGCTTGTACCCAGCCGCACCACTCAACGTGCCGCACGAGTCTATGGAAGATTGCACAGTGGCAGGGTACCACATACCCTCGGGCACCCATCTCTTGACCAACCTCTCAAAAATCCATCGGGACCCACGTGTGTATGAAGACCCATTGGAGTTTAGGCCGGACAGATTCCTAAACACTCACAAAGATTTGGACTTGAGAGGGCAGCATTTTGAACTGATTCCCTTTGGTACAGGAAGAAGAATGTGCCCTGGTGTCTCATTTGCGCTCTTGATGATGCAACTCACACTCACCAATTTGCTGCATGGCTTTGATATTGCAACTCCTGATAACCAACCAACAGATATGCGAGAACAGGTTGGGCTCACTAATATCAAAGCCTCGCCTCTTCGGGTCCTCCTCACGCCACGTCTCTCCCCTCATCTTTATGCATAATGGAGACAAAGAACGGGCTAGATCGCTTGGCCTTTAATTTTATCATCTGTCTGTTTTTGCTTTTTAATGAGCGGAGGCTTTTTATAACTCAAGCATTTGATCATCAGCATATATCTTTTATTATTATTGCATTGTTCTTGGAAAGCATATTTCAGTCTTCAAATAGTGTGGCGCGCACACACAAGTGCATGGACAAGACTAAGGCATCATTTTTGAATGCATAATATAATGAGTCGATATCGATGATACATTTAACTCAAAATGCCATATTCTGTTTCTGAAATTGGGGTTTCCTTTTCCCTCTAAACTCTTTGCAATTTGATTGGTGGCGCTCATCGATCCACTTACACCCTCAATCTCATCACTAAGCTCCTCTCCCCTAGCTATTATATTGTCTCCATTAAGATTATGTAGGGTTTGTTATAATAATGATGCATCGAAAAGAAAAGATGGCAATTGACTGACGTACTGCAGTTATTACTATGCTTATTATTTTTATGGATAGATATGGGAGAAAGAAGAATGTAACTAGTTTTGCTCTCAAAATGGTCCTCCACGTAATGGGATGGCCCTTTTATGATCCGTCACAAAGGCGGTCCTTCGTTGGTAGTTGATCCCCATTCAATCTGGCATCACGACTCCCAACCACATTGTGTTGCAAAACTTCCCCAAACCAATGCCTCATAATAACCCTGCACTGCCGCTCTGCCTCTGCTTCCTTCCTCTTCTCTCTCTGTAACTCTGACGCACATGCAACTGATCATCAATAATGGAACGGAGAGCATTGAGTGCTTGTCAGTTTTGATGAGCACCCAATGCTCATCAGACTTGGACCGTCCAGATCAATCTGGACCGTCCAGATTTTATTTTATTTTATTTTTATTTTTAAAAAACATTATTTTAATAGGTATAGAAAAACATAAGATAATCTTCTAACTTCATTCTTAAAAATACTCTTTTTTATTTTAAAATATTATTTAAAATATTCATCTGGACCGTCCAGATTAGATCTGGACGGTCCAGATGGCTCATCAGGTGATGAGCACCGCGTATGACGGACCCATAAAAACTGCTCAAATAGGAACCAGAATG